TCATTCAATTGATGCTTTCAGAGATAATGCGGATATTGAATATCGGTATTTGACGGAAATATTTATGTGCAATGTTTATGATATCGTAAACGTTTCCCGCCTCAAAGCAAAGTTGAATTTTACCATATTTCAGAAAATGGTAAGTAAATAAAAAAAAAAACTATAGACATCTCAGGTTGGATTTATTAGCCAAACATGTTAGATATAGTAAATTATCACATTATTCCATTCTGTCATTTTCGACTATGACTGATTTGCTATGAATCAAAGGTCTCCATCTTGTCTCTATGATTCTTCAACCAACCAGTATATACCAATCTTCCACAGGTATGAACAGTCCTTTAAATTTTCTTTAAAGGACTGCAGTTAGAATTATAAATAATATTTAATTAACGTAATAATTATTTCTTTTTAAACACTTATTCAATTAGAAATTCAAACGGAATAATAATCGCTTTCCCACCAATCAACAAATGCATAACATGTATTACCATTCCAACATTATTTGCGTAGGCCAGAAAAATAGTTTAGAAAAAAATTTTAAAACGTTTCTGGATAGCCAGTAATGTTAGAGCAAAAAAAAAAAAAATCCTTTTGTTGTGGTGTCTAATAGTAATAGGATGTTGAAAACTTATTATTTATTGCCATCTACGATGTCTAGTCATTGTGAAACATTTAACAAAAAATGAATATACTTCTGGAAAGCACCATATGTGAAGTACGGTATATTTTACTATTTTTGTGGTGATTTTTCGTCGAATTTGATAATAATTATATATTTCTATAGGATACATTATACACCGAAAATGAAACTGTTGACAAAGAGCCGATTTGCCTATTTTTCAACGAAGCACAACTGTAAGATTTCTTTTGTTTGCTTAAATTTATAAGAAGTCACTTTAATTTTTTCAAAACTTAAACATGTGAATTTAGTTGTAAATGAGTATAAGTAAATAAATATATTGATTGTCATACGATTTTGATTCAATGAAGGATTTGGAGTGATGAAGGTGTGATGACTGACCATTCCCAAGGCAAAGTATCTTGCTATTCTGACCATATTACCAGTTTCAGCGTAATGATGAAGGTTACTAAGGCTGAAGTATGTATTCGTTTGTGCAATGTCTCTTATTTACACACAGTACTTTACATACAATTTGTAACATACATACAAACGTACTAAGCATACTAAACCTATCAAATACCTTTTTCTATATAGGCCTACATACAATACATATAGGCCTATATAAGTATACATGCAGCAATATCCAGAGAGCATAAAGAACTAGCAAACCACTGGAAATCATAATGATAATTTACAGTGACACTTAAAAGTAATCGTCGTAAGTTCAAAACACCAAATTGGTTAAAAATGTTTATCAATCACGTTATAGGTTCTATATATATTTTTTGTCAGCTATGTTTTAGCTACTTTTCACACTGTGTGGAAAAGTATTACATTTCAAACTTCATTGAAAAAATAAAGAATTTCCCAGATAAAGACATAAAGCAGTGTCTTTTGAAAAAATGTGCCTTTCTCTTAAAGGTGTAATTTTTGCTTTGCCTACTTCAAAAAATAGGCTTATTCAAAAATTATATTTTGCAAAAACCAATTAGGGCGGTCGGCTTTATCAACCTCAACTTGAACTTAAACAGAATTACTTTTGCCAAAAAAAAACCAAAAAATGTTATGCCATATTTGTTTTTAAACATATTTAAAGAAAACACATTGTAGCAATGACTCTTTGACTGTACCTCAAACTCCAAGTGTGGTGGTTATATTTTAATGTTTAATCAATCAAATGATATTCATTGGTTTCAATTACAAAATACAGGACAACAAAACTTTGAGTCTGATGTCCAAAGTGTGCGTTTCTATGTCACTCATCGCTTTGATTGTTTCTCTCATCATTTACTGCATATTTCCGTAAGTTATTTAAATTCCGTTTTTATTAATTGTAAGTGTTGAACTCAATATTTTAATACAATGGTTGTAAACCTACTACAACTACTAAACACCACATTGTAGTGAACAGCATATACATTTATTTGTCAAAAACAAGCACTGGCTAAAAGCGAACCTAAGTAAGAGAGTAAACAAAAATTAATGAATGTAATGTATACAGTTATTAAAACCTGATAAAAACAAGATGATTAAATGAAGTAAATAATATGAACAATTAACAATAATTGGAACTCACTAACATAATTTTATATCTTTATTTTTCAATACTTAAAACTGAAATTAAACATAAATGAAAACTTAATTATACAATTTGTTATAGACCTGCATTTTTAGTCGGTGATTTAAGAAAAATAACTAGGCCTACACACTATTTAAAATAGAGCGATAGAAATTGTATTAGTTTTCATAAAGATCGTACTTGTAAAATAAAAATAAAATAATCCACAATCTAGTAAAAAAACAAAATAAGAGGCTGAAGATTTAAAAACAGTTTCAAAGTGTTGACACGACAACGTTTAATTTTAATTTTGCCCATCCCTGAAATAATGGGCTTATTCGACTGGGTTCATTTCATTGACTATGATTTTTGATTGAGTATTATTTTCATTCGACAACAACAATAATCATTTTTTGAGCTATATGAAAAAGTGTCTCTGGCAAGATTTGAGCCTGCAGCCTCCCGCTTTAATGGCGGGAACCTTATGCAACAGAGACATGTGCAGATGTAACCCGCAGACAACTTCTCTTATACAACTAGCTTGAAGTTCATCACACATAGTGGAGTCATGTTTAAGCGAGAACTAGCTTAAACATTGTCGTAGCTAGGACAACATTATACTATGTACGGTATTTAATACCGTACATAGTATAATGTTGAGGTATAAATATTTATAGAAAAATATACATATGCATATTTACTTGTTTACTTTTAAATAGGGAACTATGGAAATCACTCCGCATTTCAATCCACAAAAACTTGGTCGTTAACATGATTTTGATGCAATCACTCTTTATTTTTGGGATCGACAAGACAGGCCACAAGGTAGGTGTCCTATTACTATAATGCATTGAGCATCATATCAGAATGTATTATCAGATTCAGATTAATTGTTTATTTGAAATAATTTGAATTATTTCCCTCAGCAAAACATCACAATAATAAAACTAGAATATTATATAAGAAACATTAGGTCACATTGTTATAAATTTATTACTATTACCGTACATTGTTATACAGGATTTTAATAATTATATATCACTATTGGCAATCCTTGGTCTATGTACATTATTGAATAAAATAAAAAATGAAATAAAGTGTATCCGTAAACCATTAAATATACTTAGGGAAAACATCAACAACTAACCAGTCATTGTCTGATGAAGATCTGTGGAGAACGGATCGAAATGTCACAACAGTATGTATATTTAATGGTTTGGCTCGGAAGAATTTTTCGATTCATACACCATAGAAACCAGATTAAATTATTTGAGTGTTATACAGTATGTTTGTTCGTTCCTCCGATTCTTCATTCTATTGCTGTTTGTGTGTCCGTTTCTCCGTCCATGCGCCGACAATCGACCTATAATATACATGTGGCGTAAAATCATTAAATTATCCGATTACCTGTAGGCCTACGTGTACATTCTACAAGTCATTTACCTTTCAGATCGTGTGTGCAGCTGTTAGCGTTCTTCTTCACTTTACTGCGCTGAATACGTTCACCTGGATGTTTGGTGAGGCGGTATACTTGCTTTTTAAGGTTTCCACATCAGCCCCCAGCCAACACAACCGACTTCGAAATTACATGGCTGTGTGCTATGGTATTCCCCTAATCATCGTTGTCATCTCTTCGGCTGGATTTACATCCGGATACACACACGGGAACAAGTACGTTACTGATTAATTTCTAATGTTGAAAACCCAGGGGTGGTGCGAGTGGGAGCAGGCTCCATCCGTGGGGACTTCTTCCCACCCTCTCGTGGGGGAGAAAAAAAAACCATTGTCATAGAGAAAAAATATATATGCATTTCCTACATGTTAGTAGACTCTAAATCGATGGAATAAGCCTTTGAAACCATAAACTGTCATCATTTTCGGGGTTCCCACCCCTATGAACCCACTTCGATCTCGTTTGACATCCGCCGGGGACATCAGACAACCCGTCGGGTGCGACCTCTCGCGTATTGTATTGTAAAAATGCATGTATTAACGGGTCAGTGAATCTGAAAGGCTTCCCACAAAAATTACCAACAGAATAGGATTTTGTAATTTCAAAGGATAACAAAGGCGACATTTCTATAGATGGACATACACAGTATACTGGGATATTTTTTAAAAAGTGACAACAATGATGGCTGTGTGTAACATTTTGACCTTTTTCAGTTGTTGGCTCAATCCAGAAAGAGGAATGATATGGGCATTCGTAGCACCAGCAATCTGCATTGCTATGGTAAAGACTGTTTTATGTGTACAATTTCATGTACACATTATTATTTGTATTTTATTTTATTGGATGGGGTTTGGAGAGCCACATTGAAAGTAAATAATTTTGATATTGGCAATCCGGTGCACCTGCTGAAAACATTTGTTTTGCTTTGTGTATTGTTTATTTAATAGTGGATATAATTTTTGTAATTTGTTAGACTGATACATTCTTTTATTTTAATATTTTTTATAATGTTTTGCAAAGGTTTGCACAACGTTTATGTAATAATCCTTATACAGGTACTCCATTTTCTCTACTTAATAACGAATACATTTACCTTAATACTGTAAACATTTTAATGGATTTTTCTCAAGGTTAACACTGGAATAATGTGCATTGTTTTGAGAATAATCTACAAACGAGCCGGTAATATGGTTGGTAAACCAGCCGCAGCGAGGAACAAATTTAAACAATTGAGGTAATTGTAATATATATAGGTCTGTTCATATATGTTACATAATGTATAATTGATGAAGCGCTATGCTCGAAACATCGTGTGATTTGGAATAAAATGGTAACATCGTACTTATCGCTTTAGCTTATTATATATAAACATATATGTATATAGTATATATAATATATATATATAATCAGATATAGTAGTTTCCTCATATTTCTCAGAGACATTTTTGATATAGGCCATTTGTTTTTATGGGTTTATACCATTTGCCTATTATTATATATATACACTACCTTTATTCGGCTCTTAGGGGGAAACTATTTTGTCTATGATTTTGCCTTAACGTCGCTTTAGTTTCCCCTCAGCGACACTACTTTCGCCTTAAGGTACTGTTTTTAACCCACTTCATTGTTTTAGTTTCCCAATATGGATACTTCTAAGCGTGTATATATATATCCAGCTTTTATCTACTTTGTTTATTCCATATTAAGTAGAACGTTTAGGATGCGCATCTTATTATACTTTCCATCTTTTATTAATACCTTATCATGTAGCTATAAGTTTAAACTTATTCCTACATGTTCTGATACTACCTTGGGTAACCATTTTTTGTTTTCCCACTATAATTTTCAATTGAAAATAATAATTAAAAAATTGCCATTCCGATACATAAATCTAGGCTATTTTATAACTTTAATTAAATTTTTAACAATACTAACTTTATTCCAGTCTACACTTCGCAAGGTCATTTTGACATCCTGAATGTATAGACTTACATCTATATAATACTTTAAATTTCTTTTCTATTGACAAATATTGATGCATTGTATGAAAAAAAAAAAAATATTGTACATTATTAGGATAAAATACAATAAGACCTATGACAAATACATCAGATTCATCACCTTCTTCTCTTATAGAAAAAAATTATCCCTATTTCCATAAAGCCGTCTGAAAGCTGCAAACTTATCAGACATTATTCAACAATTTTACTACAAAAGGCATTCTACATGGCTGTTCTGTTATGGCATCCTCCGTGGTTGGTTACACAATCACATAAGCCTCATTTCCGTAGTCAGCTAATTTCTATTAAACTCTAATTTTATTCTACAGAAAAACTACTCGTGGTACATTTATGCTGCTACCGCTCATGGGCTGCACGTGGCTCATCGGGCCGTTTACTGTCAATTCGGATACTGTATTCCTTGATTACGCCTTCAATGTTTTGAACGGATGTCAAGGGATCTTCATATTCGTGATTTACTGCCTCTTTGATAATGAGGTGAGATTGACTTATTTAATTGTTGATAATTATTTTGAAATAAGAACGACATTTACAAGTACCCTGTAGACAGTCCTTAATTAACTATAATAGCGTCAGCAATTGTGACTGTGACTTTTTGCAGCATTATTATTATTATTATTATTATTATTATTATTATTATTTTAATCAGAAAAAGATCTAATACAAAGCAAAAGTACATTACAAAGAATGTTAATTTCATGTCCACACACACTTTCTGTATAAATGTTTGTCATGTTCCCATATGGGCACACACGATGATGACATAATTACCAAATATGGGCATAATACTTTTTCACATAAAATGTGATAGAGTGTGGCGAGGGCTTTAGTAGACACTAATTGACCAAAAGACACTAAGCTTTCCAAGCCACTGTCATGGATAGGTGTGTACAGTGCGAACATTCATGAGTGACAAACAAGACACAAACGCCAATTCATTATTAATATTATTGTTCAAAAACTACATTAATTGGATTTTTCCTCCAAACTTTACGTTCGGTATTATGTTAATCACATCCTCCTTAACAATCGACAGCCACTTAACTTAATTAGGCCTACACATTTCATTACCATAATAATACACCACTTTTGTTAAATTGGAAAATTTATGATAACCTGACAACAACCATGGGTTGGGGGCAGCATTTCACGAACTAATGATTACTTAACTTTGTGGTATAACTAAGCTCGAATACTAGTTTCATAAATATATTGTTTAATGTTATTTCTTTTGAAATTATCCAACACTGTGCATCCATTGTAGTGGCTTTGTGACAGTACAGGCCTCTTTGCGATCGCCTTTACTTTGTAGAGCAAGAGCAACACAAAGGAAATATAAACATCGAGAGCTGCTACGGCTTCACACACAGTTCGCTTCGTGGCAGCAGTAAAGTTGACTTGATTAGGCCTACGTACCTTAGAAGCACAAAATTTGCCATTCATACTTGTCATCAACCATAAATCCATTTATAACACAAAATTAGTAACGAGCACAAATATATTGAAACAGAAAACGAAATGTTGCTTTCAAAATACAGCCGATAACATGGTCTAATATCTCTATACGTTTATCAATTGTTCATTTAAATCTACTAAGATCTGTATGCATTATGCATTTTTTCACATGATTTACTGTAAAATATATAATTTCATTTCTACAGACAAATGAGTGTCTTAAAAAACGATGGAAGAAAAATGAAGTAGGCCTAACATCTCGTACGGTGGAAATGACGCAAAACATGTGAATGCATGTGTAGCTTTTTTGGATAAGTGTTCAGTATACTGAACATAATTATAGTAGTTAAAGTAAAATGCACTATATTTTTAGATGATAATACTGTGTTCAAACAAACTTGTATGTGGTAAATCTAAATGCCAAAAGCACATTTTATATAGGCCTAAATGTGTCGCATTCGAGATCCACCTTATTGAAAATAACATAGAAGAGGGTGTATCTGATCGTTTAATTCATACGGCAATGGTGCTGTATTGGTAATATTGGAAGTAAAATACCTTATGTGTTTTTGAATGAAATGGATGATTGCGTATTAGCTTATAATGCCAAACACATAATGTTTTTGTTTCTAAACACAATGAAAAGCACTTCATAAAATATGTGAACTTGTAACTTAAATAGCTTTTCCTCATGCCGCTAAACGTAACAATTGTATATTATATAACACAATAACACACACACACACACACATATTTATATATATGATATTGAAGGAAGTTAGCCGTTAACACTGTTGAATGAATATAATATAAATCATCAAAGGTACATATACATACTGTGTCGTAATCACTAAGCAAACTTTTTTTGCCTTATTTTATGTAAACTGTTAACATTTTTGAGATTCAAACAAGCTTATTCCCAAAAACTAAATTACTTTTAAAAAGGCTTCGCAGACTATTGATCATATTTTAGTTCTCAAAAACTTAATTAATAAATTATGTAAATAATGCTGTAAGTCATATCTTTTATCTTTTTGTTTTGTCGATTTCTCAGCTGCGTTGCCAATATGGCGTAACGAATTATTGTTATATGAATAGATTTGTGGTACTACTTACTAATAATATTAATAGGCCTAAGTAGTGCATATTATGTAGTCCTCTGTTTTGTTTGCTGAAGAGCGCCTAATCATTTGAGACAACAGGAGTGTAACTTGAGTCCTCTGTTATTAAATTTATTAAATTTATTTACGAGCAATCAGCCAGCTCTTTTCGATAAAACATGGAATTATGCCTACTTTATGCTAATTGCAATTTTGTGATTATATCGGAGACAAGTATAGGCTTCAAAACTTGACTGATAAGCCTTCGCATTGGAAACCAGAAATAAATATAAACAAAACGAAAATGTTGACTTATAAATAAATACATTGTGTAATAAAATGCCTCCGACGGGATTCGAACCTGCGACCTCTCGCTGCAATGGCAAGCGTCATAACCATTAGACCACAGAGGCTTCATAGTAGAACCATGGACCTATTAATAGGTCCATGGTAGAACAGATTCAAATAACTGTCAGCTACATTGTATTACACAATGATGGTGCATCTTCTCGAGAATGCGTTAAGTACGGCTGGAAATAAATAGTAACACATACTAATAATCAAGATAGCCGTTAACACTGCTAAATTATATATAAATCTTAAAGAAAGGTAAATACAATGCTTGAATAAAGGACATGATAATACATAGTGTAGCAGAGCTCTCAACAAATGTTGTCCTGTAAAAATAAAGAAACATGTAAATTGTGGAAACAAATAATAGCATATGATATAAATCAAGATAGCCGTTAATACTACGGGCGTTGCAACCTTTACCTTGATGAGAAGATGTGCATCTTTAATGCAAATAAAGCTAATCTGTTAAATAAAATATCTGAACTAATATCCAAACAATAGAAAAATCTACCTACTACCTGATGATTGAAAGCTATATGTGCGAATACAGAGTTATATATATATATACGAAGGTTATATAAATAATGGACGATAAAAAAATAATTCTGAGGGCACTTAGATATACATTAGCTGTATGATGAATAGTAGGACGAATATTTAATTGTGTTAAATGAGCTTGTTATGAGTTAATTATTATGATTGACGCCCTGGTAATCATTTACCAAAGAAACAAAATGTCATCTAGATTTTGGAATAGGCTTCATAGTTATTTTCAATGTTGAATGCTACAAGAACCATCAATGATCAACATCCGCTTTAATACATTTCACAACAAATGCAATAAATGAGAACATATAATCAAAATATATGTTAATTGATGTTTACACATCATTTTTCACAGAAGGGTGTATTTGAATATGTATTGAGTAGCATTTATAGCAGATGGAGCAATGCCATAAAACCTTGAAGAGAAGCCCAATGGGCTAAATCTCGAGAAAAAGCCTATCTCGAATTGAATCCCCTCCCCCTCTTTAGTACCGGTTTACGTTTATAATAGAGTGGGCCTCTTGGCTACAAGCCATCTTTCAGATATCTTAAAAAAGGAAACCTTCAATTAAACTTGCGTGTTCGTGGGACATGCGCATAATTTTGTCCCTGTTTTGGTAGGTCATTTGTTAATCACTGTTAAAAAAATGTGTATGTAAATTATTATGTAGGCCAATAAATAGGAAGTGTTTTATATTTTTGTTATTATTTTTTGTAACTGCTTTATTATACTGTATAATGTTGTAATCATAATGTACGCTAAAAATGGTAATAGCAACACTGTTTATGAATATAGAGATGGATTTAAATAAATATCTATACACGTGTGGATGCATAACATTTATGTAAAGCATTTCTTCCTTTTCCTTGAACTTGTTGGTACCGGGAGTCAATAATATTTTATATTAATGTGTATGTAGGCCTGTTGATAAGAGAGGGGTACAATGGAGTGCTAACTTTATTTGGTCCATTGAAATCAAGCCATTATCGATCACTTTAAATTTAAAAAAAAGTATGACCCATGGTTTTTTCATCTAAATTATAAAAAATATTTTCATATGTAAAAATACAAAACTTGCATAACTTATATTACAAAAAAACATGACATCTGTCTAAAAATAATTATAATCAAAAAAATTCAGTTAATGTCAACCATGTTTCTATTATTTGTTTATTTTTATGGTTACGAACATATAAAATTATGTGCAGAAACGAATGCTGCAAAACAGGAAATTTCATTTTACCATTTCATTATACCCCAGTTTCTATCTTTAAACAGTGACAATAAAAGCTGTTAAAATTATAGTTAAACCATGATTATAGAGATTGGCTTTTCAGGAAACGCCTACGGCTCTCATCAGGGCTTAGGCACGCTGAACTGATTCAAGCATTTTTTTTTTAATTGTCTAATTGTACGAGTTCAACACACTATGTAATTTCCATTGTGTGCTTTGGGCACGGTGGTTTACCCAGAGCAGTGTATTGTTACCTACGAGTACCATAAGGTTCTGGTCAAACAAATTTGCGGTGGTGGTGATGATGTGATGGTATGATGATAATGATATTGGTGACGATGATGGTGTCTTGGTGGTGCTGATAATGATCAAGATGATGCTCTTGATAATGATGTTGATGATGATAATAATAATGAGTAACCTTACCGGGCAGCACAGAAACAAAGGGACGGTTAGGGGCGAAGAAAGTAATTGATCGAGTTCCTAGTACAGTAATATCAAAAGCCCTGAGCATCTTATATTATTGAAATGGCGCTGTATAAAACTACACCACTACCACTACTACTACCACCACCACCACCACCACTACCACTACTACTACTACTATTATTATTATTATTATTGTTATTGATATTATATTTTCACATGTAATATGTTAAAGATCTAAAATATTATTTCCTAATATTTTTAAAGAAAATACTTCATTAAAGAAGCATGCATGATGATATGAACGTTACAATATGAAACTGGACTGCAGAACATGGGATGCAAGCAATTTGTTATACTTTATGGCCCAAAGGTGAAACTCTGAGATACTGTGACCGCAGCCCGACTGTTGGCCGCAAAGAACTTTAAAGGTTTTTAGCAATTCCAAATTAATTCTATTCAATTTTTTATTGTACTACACCACAACATCAGGACACTGTATACATTCGTTATAAATATTGCGACCATAAGATTGATTTAATATTTTGCCAAAAGAAGACACCTTTTCACTATTTTTCGATTATAGATGATCTTAAAGTATTTCCAGCTTGTGTAAAATCATCACAAAAGAAATATGGTGCGCCAAGACTTGCCCAACGGATTAATGATCTAGTTTGTATTGTGTTATGTTTATTGATTCCCTCTGTATGTTTAATTTGACTGTTGGTTGATTGTGCATTGTTACAATGATTGGTCTATGTTTTAAATTGATTGGTTATGTTTGGTTAAATGAATTATTCATTGATTATTCTATTTAACCGTTTAACTCAGTCTTAAGCCATTCAACTGGTTGAAAATGATTTTATATGTTTCGAGGCCGATATTCATATACAGTATTCCGGATCCGGTATTTAAAAAACTTTGAGTGTTATGTGTACATATATGTATGGTATATATACACATGTGTATATGTGTGTGAACGGTATGTGTGCGTGTATGTGTATGTGTATATATATATGTATATGTGTATAGATACTTAAACAAAAATAGTTTAAAGAGTAAAACTCTGATGTTTTTTTTGGTTTTTTTTTATTATTCTAGTGTTTAAATTGTTTTAGTTTTTCTTTTTGTTTTTTTAATTTGAAGGGAATTGACTTTCTTATGGTTAAGAGTACAGTATTGTTTTGGTTCTAGGATCCCCTGGGTTTTTTCTCTCGACAAAATCGAGACTTGGTTTATAAATCATTGTTTCACGCTGTAAGTAGCAAGTGTACTTGCTGTTGGATGTTAAGGAAATTAAAAAAAATGTACATGTTAGGATAAATCAAAATATGTATAGTAACAAAATGTGTATAAGAGACAATATATATATAGGCCTATATATACAATAAAAAGCACTTCATAAAATATGTGAACTTGTAACTTAAATAGCCTATAATAGTGTATAACTGAAATAGATAATACAGTGCTCAACTATATAGGAACGTGATGTTATAAATCAAATGCATACATAGTTCAACGAAAGTTCCTTATAGTTGTATAAAAAAACAATATTACACTTTGATATAAGTGTAAACGTTTTCTTAAAATATTAAATTCATGTAGGTTTACATCAGTAAATGTTTGTTATTAAAGGAAAGGAAGGAAGGCAGTGTAGTTATGAGTATTCATCTTAGATAAACAATTGAAAAGGGCTATTACACTATATATATATATATATATATAAATGCTTTCGACAGGATTCGAACCTGCTCAACCATGAACTAATGGTTATGACGCTCGCCTTGATAGAGAGGCCACAAAATGCATTAATCTAACTTAAGTATAATAATTTCCCCAATATGTGAATATATACCACAGTGGTACAATTACCCTTTTTTAATGTTAGTATTAATGTTTTGAGCAGTCATCGGTTGGTAGGTTCAGTTGATTAGCGGCAGGGCACTTAGATGTACATTAGCTGTGCGATGAATAGTAGGAAGAATATTTAATTGTGTTTGATGAGTTTGTCATGAGTAAATTATTGTGATTGATGTCCTAGTAATAATTTTTTCAAAGAAACCAAATTGTCAAATTTTTGGAATAGGCGCAATAGTCAATTTTTTTTTTATAGATTTTTCGCAGAAGGATATTTATTGAGTAGAATTTATTGAAGATGAAGCCTCTCAGCTACAAGAATGTCCACCTTTCGATTATCCTACAGAAAAAAAACTTGTGTTTGTGAGACATGCGCGTATTTCTGGCCCTGTTTCGGTTAATCAGTTGTTAATCTGGTTGACACCCCGGAAAGGCTCATTGTTAATCAAATGTGTATGCAATTTTAATTATGTATACATGGGAAGTTTTCATGTTTGTATTAATTTCTGTAACTGTTTTATTATTTAATGTTTTATTCAAATTGTACCAAAAAATAATGTTTTTAGCAAAACTCTTTATGAATATAGAGATAAATTTGAATAACTTTCTATGTCTCTTTGTGAATACATAGCATTTTTGTCAAGCAGTTAAGACTTTTCCATGGCATAAGTTATTTGTGATCAGTAATTATTATTATCTATTTATAGAGGTTCATATTGTATATATATATATATATATATATATTGAGGTTCCACGTGTGTTTCAGTACGAGAGCAAAATGATATAGGAAACGAATATCATGTATAGACTTCAGAATCACTTTATTGGAGAAAACAAATATTTCGACCTATCCTCGGGTTACCGTATATAAATAATGGATGAAAAAATAATTCTGAGGGTCACAAAATTCATTAATCTAATTTAAGTATAATAATTTCTAGTATGTGAATATATACCTCAGTGTTACAATACCCTTTTTTAATGTTAGTACTAAT